TGCAGTACTTGAAAAACATATTGAAGGGGATTGATCAAAAGTGGAGCAGGCAAAATCTGGAGCAGCTGTGCACAGCAACCAATCAGCTTCTCTCTTTCTTTTTCAAATCTTAACTGAACAAACTGAAGAGAGAAGGTGATTGGTTGCCATGGGCAACTGCTCCAGATTCCATCTGCTCCAGTTTTGATAAATTCCTCCCATTAACTCTTTCATATATGCAGGGATACCAAGCAACTTTGCAAATTTTACCTTTTACTTCTGTCTTATGTTGCATTTTGTGAGCTATTATTACAAGACTAAGCTAGCCTAAATATTGCATTGCTTACATTCAGCCTGTCTGCAATCTTTACTGTAGGTGTGAGCTGTAAACTCTCACTGCACCTGCAGTCTTCACTGTAACTGTAGACCAGGTCTGAAAAATCTACTCCACATTCCTGTTTGATTTGACCTCTTTATTGCCAGAAGCCATAAACGATGATTTCTATGCCAAACTTCCCTCATGTAATCAACGGAGAGAACAAACTGTTGGATGAAGGCAATCCATTGTAGAGAGCACATGATGTGTATTCTGCTTTCCATGGTTGTGTTGATAAAGTCACGAGAGATGGGGACGGGTGCAGGAATTGCTTAGCTAAACTAATGCAGGTGTTGCTTCCTTTCAGCAGTTTATGATCTGTTTCTTGAGTGATTACATGAGTATAGTACACTACAAAAATCATTATTTAAGGCTTTGAAGACACTGAATCAAACGGGTAGGTGGAGCAGATATCTTTCTTTTTGTTCTCAGACCTGGTCTTTAGTTTTTTAGTGCTAGCTGCAAACAAGCTGAATGAAATGCAAAGTTTAGATGGGAAGATAAAATAGGGTTTGTACTAAAAAAGTTGGTTGACATCAATTAATATAGTACATGAGCTATTATGTTTTAAAGTAAACCTTTCTGTTCCTCAAGCGTGTAAACATAGTGGTTAATATAAAGTATGATAATGCAAAAGGTTGCACAGATTTACATGTATTCATGCATGCACAGTTATTAATTCTGCTTTAATATAGATTATAGCATTTCATGTTTTTGCATGCAGTAAGTTACAAAACCAGTAGAAGATGTGAAATTTGTGTAAATGACCAGAAACACACTATCTCACTTTCTATATACTAATTAGTCTACCAAAAATGAAGTATTTGAACACACTGGGCCATTCGTAGAGCAAATAAAGTGGCATTTGGCAACTTTGGCAGTACTGAGCAATCCACACCCAGCTGCACTTGGTCTATTGGTCTCTTTAAATAATACTTGGTATAGGCTACAGTAAACCTGAAGCACAATTATAAGGGGTTGTAGATATTATGATGTTATTAAAGAGCAGCTTCTGCCCAAATGGCTGTGAAGGTGTCTACTAACTTACATTCCTGGTGACCAGGGTCAGAGAACAAGAAATGAGAGATTTGGGTCAGCAACAAATTCACCATATTTGGTAGAATGGGAAAGGCTTAGAACCTCTGAGGTTTTTTATTGCCCGATGTTCCCTTCTGCCTCAGTGAATCCATTCTCCACTCTAAGACTTCCCCACGGTATTCAAAGTTAAAGAAAAATGTTTTGGCTGCAATTTAACTTTAATAATTATTTTTGCTTTATTTAGGATTTTTGTTTTGTGTTAGTATAGTGTAGAGTTACATATAACTTCACCATTCGTGCATTAATGAATTTATTGTGTTCTGTTTGGCCTTCTATTTTGTTTTTTACATTTGCTTTTACAAAATTTTACCATTGTTTGTGTGCAATAGTTCTATTTAACACATTTAAAACAAACAAGAAAAAGTCACTAATTGTTAGAATTCATTACAAAATTATATACCACCAGAACCAAAATATAACTTAAAGGTTGAATAGTGAAAAGGGGACTTTGATAAATGTGAAATCATTTAGATAGAGGTAGCAGAAGGCACATTGATTGATGAGGTATACTGTATAAATCATATTTGCCACAAAATATGTGGGCACTTATAGCTTGCAAGAATTTCAACAGTTATCATTTACGAGCTGCTAAGGCTTATTATGCTCAGAAACCAACATTCCAAGAGGACATATACTGGGGCCTAAAAGTAATCTGGGCTGTAGAAAGTTGGAAGAAGTGAATGGAAGTGATCCTCATGACCAAACTATGTTCCAGCAGCTGGCCGCCAAGCATTGCATCTAGGACAAGAGAGAGAGAGACTGACCCCAATTTTAGACAAATGTATTAGAGTAATGATGGGTTGATTAAATAGAGTCAAATGTATTTGTCATCAAAACTAATGTGTGAAGCTTTTAAGGTTGGTTCCTAGGCATTATTATGTTTTGAAGAAACAACTGCTTCTACTTTCTTTGCACTATGTCCTGAAACTTTAGAGCTGGATTTAGTAAGCCATAAGTTTAAAGTAAAAACAACATGCTTTGTGCCTTGTTTTTAAAATACATTTAACATTAAAAATTACTTTTACAATATACCTATTTTTTCATATCCCTCTAATGATGAGAGCTATGGGAGAGGCTCTAAGATTATTGTGCATTAGTGCTTACTACTTTCCCTCTTCATTCTTTCCCCAGTCATTGGGGGTGATTTACTAACCTATTTTTACACAGCAAAACATATTTATCAACCAAAAAGTCACTAAAAGCATATCTCCACTAATGCCATATATGGAAAAATCATGCACATGATGCATATATAATGATGCTTCACATTGTGTTGCTTGTGTTGATGAATGCAGGAATGTAAATGCATGAGCTAACCATTTTTGTCTAAACTCTGAAGCAGCATTATATATGCATCATGTGCATGATTTTTCCATATATGGCATTAGTGGAAACATGTTTATAGAGACTTTTTGGTTGATAAATACGCTTTGCTGTGTAAAAAGCACACGCACCTGGTGCGTGCGTGTGTTTAGGTTAGTAATTCACCGCCACTGTGTATGTGTGATAGTGGACACAAATACTGCATTTTCCCCGATTTGTTGGCACAGTCAAACTGTAGTTGTAGACTGCACTGCACATCAGCCACTGCTATATTCAAATCCATAGCAGCTCCTGATAATAACTGTAGCCACAAGTTAAAGTACAAGGACAAAACATACCACCCTGCCTCTGTTCATGTTAATTTGTAAGTGTTTTATGGTGTCCTCTAGTACAGATATACCATGAGAAATGAAACGGAAATATCTTTGTCTAGTTGACAAAAATGTGTGAACGTTGTGTAAGCTCCCATGCCTATATAAATCTGTATTATTTTTTGCATGGAATTTAGCAGCGGGAGTATAATTTAGCCAAAAAAAGGAAAATAAAGGTAAGAATTTAGTAACATGATAAATTCATGCTCTAAAACTAAATCCGTGTACACGCTATATATTATTCAAATTTTCGAATGTTAATTTAGTGATATGTTTGTTTCCTATACAATTAGTACGGGAGGTTTTTTTTTCAATTTATAGAATGTGGAAAGAATATTCTATAGTCCTTTACGGATAAAGAACATAATATATTTATGCAATAGCATTTTGTTTCCTGGTATATATAAGTATGCGTCCAAGGTTTTGTTGCAGGCTGTTTCTTGACTCCCTAGTAAATGGCACTTAATTATAAAGCTTCACAGTTCTGGGCCTGAAATGCTTTAGTCCTGAATAGATTGCCATCATCCAGCTGGTACTTAAAATGGTCATTTCACCAAATAGCAGACATTCAACCAAACTTTAGACAGCAATTCTACCCTTCTTTCTTCTAGTTTGGTATATCAACCATGCTATCATTTTGGTGGCTTTACCTCTGCATATTAACTTCAACTGGGGAATATTTTTACCTCTACTCTGTGGTTGATGTACATGAAAGTAAACTCTGACATCACTAGGGTTATGGTTAATATGGCTCTTTGTTTGTATTCTGTTCAATTTTTCTCTTTCTACATTGCAATTCAGATTTTAATGCACAGTCAGTGTGTCAAGGGGACTTTGCTAAAATTTCTGCTATTGTTAACCATCAAAAGTACTGCTCTCAGTTACTTTTGGTATTTTGACCAAAAGTACTACTCATATTCCCTCCCCTGGTTACCACTGCTCAACTTCAGTAAGGAATGGAAAAAAATATATTTAAAAATGCACTTTATTTGACTAAAGATGAGAATAAGTAATTAGCATAGATCTGCACCAAAAATCCATGCTGCTCTCTGCCTGTTTTGACTATTTACTGTAAATTGCAATGTATATAAAGTGATCAATGCTTGCCAGCTGCTTTTTTTTCTCAGTCATAAAAGCAGCTACCAGAAAAAGGTCATGAGCTAACATTGGCCTATTGGTCTTAGGGACTGTAAAATATGCCTCATTAAAAATGTGGGTTCTTATGCTTTTGCATCCTGCTGTGTTTTCTTCATCTCAATCATTATATGAGATCCCTATTTCCTTACTCTCCCTTCCCCTCCCTTCCCCAAGCTCCTCACTGTTCACATACTTTTAGTTCTCCTTCCGGGTTTCCCTCCCCATCAGTCTTCACTTCTTCCTCTGTTTTTTGGTCATCTGAGTTAAGATTTTGCATTTTCTTTTTTCTAACACATTTTAGGATGACCAGGAAAAGAATAACAAGGGCCAAGAAACCTCCAACCGAAGCTCCAACCAAAACAGCAACCGTTGAATCTCTTTCTGGAGGAACTGAAGAGGAGAACATAGAAGAGGTAAAACACCCTGGCCATAAAAACACAGGGGAAAGACAAGCACTCTCATAAAAAATAGGCTGTTTGACTGCATAAGGAGACATGCCACTAATTTTATAAACCAGACTGTTCTATCCCTAAAAATATGTGCAGTCTATAAACAATTAGGATAACGTACCTTCTGTAAGAACCTCCAGACGAATCTTTCCTGTGCCTTTGTGTCGGTCCGGAGGATTCAGCACATAACAAAGGTATTCCCCTTCATCTTGCAATTGTACATTATGAATTGTCACAGTTAAGTCATTTTTGCTGGGGTTTCCTGTAAATTCCACTCGGTTCTGAAACCGCTCAAGGCGCTGGTTGATAATCTTCTTTTCATACTGAATGAACTATTGAAGAAATTGTTAGTGGAAAGAGGTTATCAAAAGAAAAAGAAAGGAAGTAAAGTTGTAAAAATCAGTGAAGTACAAGGGCACAGATATTTGACAGAGTTGGGTTTGTAGTAGAAAGGATAGCGGTACATTTTACTGAGACATTGTCAATTCTTGGTTATGTTAAATGTCTAGGGGTTAAATTGTGTCCTCCTGAGGATCTAGAGTATTCTGATGGCACACATTCTTTTTTTGCACACATGCTTCTTGATACACCACTGAGGCATGTTCTGTACAGGAATCATCATTTTATGGCTCATGGTATTGATGGCTATGAATCACAATAACAAAAATGAAAAATTTCTAGATTCTGAATTTACAAGTACTAGTATGTAGTAAGGACTCAAATATAGAATTTGAATACCAGCTTAGAGAACATTTCTCCTGTCAGCTTAAACATGTCAGTAACTAACTGATTAGTGAGTTATTGAACTGTGGGATCAGATGTGCCTTTACAAAAACACTTTGATAACAGTGTTTCTTTAACGTGCTTTTATTGCTTGTTTAGAATCTGCAAATATTTTAATGTTCATAGTCTGGGCACAGGTGTACTTTAAGACTATATTGAGGGTTTGCAAATTCTTGCTGAATACAGCCTGTAGTACTTACATTTCTCAGCTGTTACAAAGGCAGTCCTAAAGATCTTAAATACTTAGTATTCATTTGATCTAAAAATATAATGTAGGTAACTACCACTCTTTTCTGTTCTAAACTGCAGGTAGGCATGCATAGCAGACACTTAGAGCTGGCATATTGCTTGCTAAAATATCTTGTAGAGCTGCCCAGAAACCCTAAAATCCAGAGAGATTAAATAATGGGTAAATTACTGTCTTGCCTACCTCCCTACTCTTACTAATGATCCATCTTTGTAATGGACAGCCTGAATGACAAACAGTGAAGCCTCTAGGTGCCTTGTGTATAGATCTGCAGTTTATGGGATGCTTTGAATATATTGATATATTTTACTTTGAGCAACTACACCATTCAAAGGCAAAATGCTTACCTGGAATGGGTACAATTACACAATTTTACTGGCCTCTAACATGAGTGTACAGATCTATTCAAGGATGTAAACAAATTTTGCGAACCTCACAGTTATTCTCATATTTATTAACTTTTCTCATTGTGACCCTGACAGAGAACACACATTGGTGACCAAGGTAGTTGCGCTAGGATATGACAGAAATCAAAAAAACAAAATCCAAAGAAAATAAAAGATATATATATAATCAGAAAATCCAGCTGCAGCAATATCTATCAAGGTGATCAAGTGTAAACCGGTGTGCTGCGCTTGGTTTTGTGATAAGTGCTATATTTAATCTTTAAATTATGTGATGTTTGTAATAACACAGACTAAAAACAGTGCAAGTGATCGAATCCTACTTGCAGCTGTATGTAATCCAAAAGTGCATATGTGCAAGAATGTTGATAAATATACGTGTCATATAAATAGGGTAAAAGTACGAATGTAAAAATGTGAACCAAATAAATTAATAAATGATGCATATATGTGCCATATAGTGAAAATACAATTGTGGATACTCAATGGTTAAATATAAAAATAGATCAATCTAACAATCAACAACATTTAAATAGAAAAAACAATATTTTAGAAAAAACTAATATATGACCAATCTAGCAAATTTCGAAATAAAACCACATCTACTGGTATAAAGTGAATAAATACAGGTGGAAAAGATATAAAAAATAAAAAGTATAAAAGTGTATGCACGAGGGTGGTAACACCAATAGTCTATTTTCTACCAAATGGTATTAAGAATCCAATGTCTTTTGTTTATAATTCTATTGATACGTCCGCAAAATAGAAAAAGGAAACCTTCTCTGTTAGTTTCTCTGTCCTCTCCTGCCGTCAGGCTACACTTCCTCTCATCGGCGATAATTAGACAACATCCAAGGCTCGAGAGCACTCCGGAGGAATCAGCCAGAAAACCGAGGGGGGGACCAACCAAAGGAGAGAAGACAGGGGGCAAACAGCACGCTCCTTTTACGCGTTTTTTGATAAAGTCTTCACGACGAAACGCGTAAAAGGAGCGTGCTGTTTCCCCGCTGACACCCTGGAGAGAGGCTATATATAAGTTGCTTATGTTGGTGTACCTATGGAAGTCTGTAAGTGCAATCATTTTTAACTACTTGGCAAATAAAGCATTTTGCATCTGCACTTAAATCCTGTCTTCTCTCCTTTGGTCGGTCCCCTCCTCGGTTTTCTGGCTGATTCCTCCGGAGTGCTCTCGAGCCTTGGAGGTTGTCTAATTATCGCCGATGAGAGGAAGTGTAGCCTGACGGCAGGAGAGGACAGAGAAACTAACAGAGAAGGTTTCCTTTTTCTATTTTGCGGACGTATCAATAGAATTATAAACAAAAGACATTGGATTCTTAATACCATTTGGTAGAAAATAGACTATTGGTGTTACCACCCTCGTGCATACACTTTTATACTTTTTATTTTTTATATCTTTTCCACCTGTATTTATTCACTTTATACCAGTAGATGTGGTTTTATTTCGAAATTTGCTAGATTGGTCATATATTAGTTTTTTCTAAAATATTGTTTTTTCTATTTAAATGTTGTTGATTGTTAGATTGATCTATTTTTATATTTAACCATTGAGTATCCACAATTGTATTTTCACTATATGGCACATATATGCATCATTTATTAATTTATTTGGTTCACATTTTTACATTCGTACTTTTACCCTATTTATATGACACGTATATTTATCAACATTCTTGCACATATGCACTTTTGGATTACATACAGCTGCAAGTAGGATTCGATCACTTGCACTGTTTTTAGTCTGTGTTATTACAAACATCACATAATTTAAAGATTAAATATAGCACTTGTCACAAAACCAAGCGCAGCACACCGGTTTACAAGAGAACACACATTGTCAGATTCTGTTCATTATGCTGTTATTTTTTCCCCTGTAGTTTCCCTGTGTTTTCCATTTAATTTCCTGCTCTAGCGTCATTCACACCCACATCCTACACTCCTGCACCTGCTCTGCTAATTGACTAAGAAGGCCATCTCACCCACCTGCTCCATGTTCTTGTGCTCTATAAATCTGAATATCGGGAAAGAAATGTATGGTGTTACAGATGAATATGCCATGCTGACTAATTCAATAGCTAATTCTTCTTTTCGGTGCTAGACATCATGCTAGGTTCCTTATGTTCCTTCCCACACTTTCATCCACTCTCTGCAGGTCTTTGTAGCACACTCCAGTAACATGGTGGGTTCTACTTACTGACATATTGTTATTCTTTCATTACTTTCTGCCCACTCCTTTTTCTTTGAGTCCTATTCTTTAAAACATCATTAATTTTGTTTTAGGAAAACTTGACTTCTGAACCACCTTTACATTTTCAAACACCACAATAAGTGTTTTTACTGAGAGAAAAAAAAAATTCTCATGTAAACTGCACTGAAGAAATATGGATCTGTGTGACACAGTGTAAGTCAATGATTGTAGCTATAGACATTATAATCAAATAGGAGCCTTCATCATGTAATTTATGTTTTTACAACCTACACAGGAAATGACCACGCTTGTAAATACTGCATCGGCAACAGCTGGGTTCTTTCATGGTCATATTTCTGAATCATATATGGGAAAAACCTTACATTAGAGTTGACTGGGCTTAACATATGTAATTAGAGTGGTCCAAACTGTTGAGCTGCAATTCCAGGCTTTCTCTAGAGAAGACATTCTTAACTGAGGGTAGCAATGACCCTTGGGGGTATGGGAACCAAATAATGTGGTTTTGGATCTCTAACTATCTAAACATGATTCTCTGCATTTTTGAACCTGAATAAAAAGCAGAGAAATTGACCAGATGTGTCAGATGACACATGGGGATAACATTTTCAGTAACTGGACCTCAATTCCATGTTCTGATAGCACAAAAACAGCAGCAAAAATCTCACTAGTTGTAGCCAACTTTTGTATTTGAGACATATATATATATAATTTTATTGGTTTTCGTTCATTTGCTCTGTTTCTAGCTATACATTGGTAAAGTAAAACTAAGCTATTGACATCTTTTGAAGCCGTACTGGGTACCTACTAGGATTTGTGATGATGATTACAATGATGATGATATCAGCAGCTTGTTGAGGGAAATCCATCGTCAATCTTATATTGTAAAAAAAGTTGGTAATCCTTGCTCTAAATCCTAAAATAAGTTTAGGTCCAGGTGGCTCCTAATAGGTTTTTACTGCATGCAGAGCTACTCCATAAATCATTACTCCAAAATTGTTACAAAGTAGCTCTGCTCTGAAACACCTAATGATTCTAAAGTATTGGTGCTGTAGCTGTTAAAGGAGTATAAAATATTCTAATTATATTTTATCTTTTAGTTAAGGATATGATATATTTAGACTGAGATTATATGTTAGTAGTTCCCACAAGTATATTGCAGTTAGAAAACTGCAGGAAACATAAAATTATCATAAAAATTATTCAGATCCATTCACATCTCTATGCTGCAGTGCAGTGCATTATGAAAACACAGCTTGCATGAAATTTACTACTTCAACATTTTGGGTCCCATAAAATAGAAGTGAATGGTAACACAATAAAATACATATGTAGCATGACGAGCTAAACCTTATGACCAGCAGACAGTGATTTTGTTTGCAGGCAAGCACATGCAAAACATATGCAGCAAAATGCAGTAAAACACATTTTGAGGAAAGCACAGAAACGTTTGCCATGATGTGCATTGAAATACACAAAACAACATGCACATGCATTTTCACAAAGGAAAGTTTGAATCCAGCCTTAGATCATGAAGGACAATAAATCTAAGTGACATTTTATCATCTTCATGTTTTCTATTTTCAAGCAGTCTTGATAATGATTTCAATAGGAGGATATAAATAGAAATGCAATGTCTTCACATAAGGGTGGTTTAGAAGGCAATTGATCTGA